AGGGGAGGGGAGGGGAGGGGAGGGGAGGGAGAGAGAGAGAGAGAGAGAGATATGAGGATTGGGAGTGAGCCCAGGAATCAGTCTTTAACCCCCGTAATTTTCCTCCTTTTCTATACTGTGTCTTAGATTGCTTTGTCTTATGGTCTAGATTCTTTACTTGATGTTTCATCTGTTTGACAGGCAATTGAAAATATCGACACATTAACCAACCTGGAGAGTTTGTTTCTGGGGAAAAACAAAATTACAAAACTTCAGAACCTGGATGCACTTACGAACCTGACAGTCCTCAGCATGCAGGTACTGGACCTCACTAGCTCCCAGCTTCTCATTCCCACAGGGCCAGACCCAGCACACCCAACCTGTTTTATTCCCATAGTATGTCCTTGATCAGCACTGTTTCACAATCAGTAGATGATGAAAACATTAGAACCCACAGATTATACATGTACATATATTCTAAACTAAAATTCCATTCTTTTATATAATTTATTTTTACTTTTAAGGATTCAGTTTGGGGAGCTGGAAAGATGGTTAAGTGCACCAGCTACTCTTCCAGAGGATCCAGGTTCGATTCCCAACACCGACATGGCAGCTCATAGCTGTCTGCAATTCTTCCCACAAAACTTGATTCTTCTGGCCTCCACAGGCACCAGTCACATATGTAATAGTGCACAGACAGACAGACATTCAGTTAAAACACCCACACATATGAATTTGTTTTCACTTTTAGAAGATAGAATTTCATTCCTTGGACTGGAGAGATAGTTCAGAAGTTAAGAGCACTGGCTGCTCTTCCAGATAATCCAGGTTCAGTTCCTAGCACTCACATGGCAGCTCACAGATATCCATAACTGTAGTCCCAGGGAATCCAACACTCTCTTCTGGCCTCTGAGGGCACTAGGCAAGCATGTGATGTGCAGACATACAAGCAGGCGAATGTTTATGCACATAAAATAATAATGAAAGAATTTCATTTCCTTTCCCTGTTGGCAGTTGAACAATAGGTGGTTGGACTCTACGCCATCTTCAGAAGGGAGAGCTCACTCCAGTCCTTTCGAGTGTCTGTTCAGTGGTATAGAGAAGGCAGACCCTGTGGGACCATGGGTTTGGGAGCATTTCTGTTCAGCACTAGTGTATGCAGAGACTCATGTTAACTTTTTTTTTTTTTCAATTAAGACAGAGTCTCACTATTAGCTCTTGCTGGCCTGGAACTCATTGTAAACCAGGCTGATCTCAAACTCATGAGAGATCCAACTGTCTCTGCCTCCTGCGTACTGGGATTAAAGGTGTGCACCACTATGCCTGACTCATGGACTTTTTTGTTGTTGTTTTTTGAGGTTTTGTTTTTGTTTGGGGGTGGGGCAGTTGGCAGCGAATTAGTAGATTCAGACCTTGAAGAGTTAAAGGGTGTGCCTGGGTGTGCCTGGGATGCCTGGTTTGGCAGGTCTGACCTGACAGCCAGTCATGGCACAGGAACCTCTCCTAGACTAAGTAAAACAAGTGCCTTGCAGACTGCTTCCAAGAGAAGTTTTTGAACTGGAATTGAGTTGCAAGTACTCTAAAAGAAATGAAAATTGATTTGTTGTAAAACAAAAATGTTAGGCTAGGAGAAATGGCCCAGTGAGTAAAGGGGCTTGTCACCAAGCCTGAAGACCTGAGTTCAATTCCCCAGGTTCCATATAATGGAGAGAACGGATGAACTGCAAGTTCTCTGATGTCCGAGGGTATACCCACATATACATACTAAATAATTCTTTTTTAAAATATGATACCTTGAGGAGGACTGGAGAGATCACTCAGCAGTTGAGAGCACTGGCTGCTCTTCCAGAGGACCTAGGTTCATTCTCAATGCCCACATGGCAGCTCCAACACCCTCTTCTGGCCTCAGCACCAGGCATGCACATGGTACACAGACATACATGCAGATAGAACACCCATACACAAAAGATAAAAAATGTTTTCATTGATACTTTTGACATTTTTAAATTGTTAAATTAATTCAGTGGTCCAACGAGATGGCAGAGCAGATAGAGACTCCTGCCACCCAAACTGACCACCGGAGTTCAACCCCTAGTCCCACATGATGGAAGGAACAATCTGACTCCTACAAGTTGGCCCCTAACCTCCAAATACCCTTCATTCCATGGGCATGTGCACATACACACTCGGGACAAATCTATTTTTTAATTACTTCAAGTAAACCTTCAGATACATCTAAAAAAAAGTGAGATTTTCATATAAAGACCCCAAACTTCCATGCGTGATATTCAACCCAGTACAACAGACCCAAAATGTTAGCTGCCTTCTCTCAAGTCCCATTTAAGAACATTTTTTAAATGTTTTATTTTATTGTGTTTGTTTGTTTTGGTTTTTCCAGACAGGGTTTCTCTGTGTAGCCCTGGCTATCCTAGAGCTCACTCTATAGACCAGGCTGGCCTTGAACTCAAGAGATCAACCTGCCTCTACTTCCTGAGTGCTGGGATTAAAGGCATGAGCTGCCACCACCCATCGACTATATTGTTTTTTATTTTATGTGTGTGGATGTTTTGCCTGCATGTATCTCAGTGTGCCACATGTATACTTGCTGCTCTTGGAAGAAAAAAGCATCAGATACCCCCGGACTGGAGGTACAGATGATTGTGAGCAGCCATGTGGGTTCTGGGAATGGAACCTAGGTCTTCTGGAAGACTAGCCAATGCTCTTAACCACTGAACCATTTCTCTACCCCCCCCCCCCCATTTTTTTTTTTTTTTTTTTTTTTTTTTTTTTTTTTTTTTTTTTTCCTTCGGTTTTTTGAGACAGGGTTTCTCTGTGTAGCTTTGCGCCTTTCCTGGAACTCACTTTGGAGACCAGGCTGGCCTCGAACTCAAAGAGATCCAGGCGTGTGCCACCATCGCCCGGCCCACCCCCCATTTGTAAAGCCATTGTATTTCTCACCTTCTGTGTAGCTGACCGCTCTTTTTCTTATCTTTTAATATTTTCCTGTGTGTGGTATGAATATGTGTGTATTCATGCACATATGTGTGTATGCTTGTGGAGACCCCAGATTAGATTAAAGTTGGGAATCACCCTTGATCACTCTTCACCTTATTCATAGAGTGAGTCTCTTAGTCAAACCCAGAGCTTATTGATATGGCTAGTTTTGCTGGCCAGCTTGCTCTAGGGATCCCCTATCTCTGGGCTTCCAAGGCTGGAATTGCAGGCAAACCACCACACTCACCTGGCATTTATGTGGGTTCTAGAAGTCCAAACTCGGGTCCTCAATCTTGAATGGAAGATGTTTTAACCACTGAACCATCTCCTCAGCCCCAAGACTGATACTTTTTAATTCTCTTCTACAGAGCAACCGGCTAACGAAGATTGAGGGTCTGCAGAGCTTGGTGAACCTGCGTGAACTATACCTCAGCCACAATGGTATCGAGGTTATCGAGGGCCTGGAGAACAATGTAAGAGCCCATTGGTCTGTCTGAGGGAGATAAAGGGAGGTGGAGAGGGAGGGGCGGGTGCTAGTACCCACTGCCCTCCAGGCCTGGCCTCGGGTGGACATACTACCTACAGGATGTGAGCTAAGGACTCTCTACCCCAGTGAACCAAAGGGCCGTCGTCACATGGCTGCCTGTGGGTTTTCAACACAGGTATCACAGACAGACACCCTCCTAGGATAGCTCACTGCACATCTGCCATGTCCTGTAGGCCTTTGAGTGAGTTGAAAACTCCT